CTGCGTTTCCTGAACCGATCTTCTGCGTGTATGTGTAGCTGCTGTCTGACTCGGGCTTCTCTTTTACTCGAAAGCTGTGCGGTGAATAATACAAATGAGCAACGAAAAAAGGTATTAAATGCGTACAAGGAATGAAAAATATAAAATAAACAGGCGTAATAGTGTGAGTAAAACAAACAACGCAAAAATGGAAAAATGGAAAAACAATTGTGGCCAAGTTGGAAGAGGGCCGACCAGTCATAAAAGTTGGGGGGAAGGGGGAAAAGGTGTGGCAGGGGGGTTGAAGGGGAGGAAAAAATGGAAAAAATGGAAAAAAAAATTCTGGCGCAGTAAAAAAATGATTCAGAGGGTTTTGGGCGTCCCCGATTTGGGCTTTTTTTGCTTCGTCTGTAAAGAAAAAAAACAATAAAAAGTGCGAGGAGCGTCAAGAAGCGCGAACGCCGACACTTTTGGTTGTAGACTGAATTGAGCTCTGAACCAGGCGGTGAGGTTTACGCGCATTCATAATTAATGCGCGTATGCTTAGGATTTTCTTTGTATATATTGCATTGGGCGAGACTGTCGGAGCTGTTTTGCGTCCGCTCTCCAGCTTTTTATATGCAGATCCAGATCTTGAAATAGATTGGATCAAGCCAGCCTCAGTTTATTTCGTGGCATTATTATCGGACCAAGAAAAGGAGTTTATGCAAAAAAGAAAATATCGGACAAACGCCCAGGATCTTCTTGGAACTAAACTGCGCAGCTCGAGAGCCAACTGCGCACTCGCCACAATAAAAAATAAAAAGCCATGTTTTTTTTGCTCCTCAGAATGCGCGGCTGTTATTTCCGATCGCAAAATAAAAAATAAAAAAGCTGGCTCTGATGCTTGTCACACAAGCCTACAGCGATTGTGATTTCTTTGGCCAATGATCGTGCTGATGTCATCAAACAGTACGCTGTGCATGAAAAAATTTTCATTTTTTACGTGGCCTGATTTCGGACAAAACCGGAAATGCTCAAAAATAATCTTTCTCGTTCTAATTAAGCCGTGCATATGCATCTGTGCGCGTTACTTCGTTCAAGACTATTTTTTTGGCCAAATGGGCGCGACACCAAAAACTTCACTTTTTCATTTTTCATTTCTCGCCGCTTTGCTAACCTTGGGTACAAAAACAACATATATGGCAACGTAATTTATTTTAGCCTGCATAGTTTGAATCAATAAAGCACAAATAAAACCCTGTTAAACGACGCATTGGATTTGTTATGCTTATGCAGCGCCTTTCATTTCGCGCCATACTCCGGACAAGCGCGCGCAGGCCAAGAGCGTTTGCACGGATTCGCCGCTCCCAAATCATCCTGCTCTCAGCATTGACTTTTATATCACTGTTCGTCCGGGTTCACAGAATAGGCCAGTTCGACCGGGTACTCTGGGACGAAACGCACTTCGGCAACTTTGCCAACCACTACATCGACAGACTATTCTACCTGGACGTCCACCCGCCATTGGGCAAGCTTTTAATTGCACTTGTGTACTGGACATTTGGATACCAGGGTGGTTTTGATTTTGCCAGTGGCCACGAGTACCCTGAGACCGTGCCCTTTGTTGCCGCGAGGTGTGTGCAGGCTGGGCTGGGAGCTGGGCTCGTGCCTGTGACGTTTTGGCTGTGCCTGAGCATGCGGCTTCCAACGGCGGGTGCCTGGCTGGCGGCGGGGTTTGTGGCAGCCGATAATGCAGTGATTGGTGTTTCGCGAATGGTTGTGCTTGACAGCATGCTGATGCTAGCGAATGCCGTTGCGGTGGGAGCGTTTGTTTGTCTGAGGAATTCCGGGCTGGCACCTGGCTCGCGCAAATGGTGCTTTCATATGATGGCGCTTGGCCTGGCGCTATCACTGGTTTGCAGGTAAAAAAACAATTAATTGCAGCTTTTATACCCGTGCATGTGTACAAAGCGCACAACAATTGTCCCGTGTTTATTTACACCAATTTGGCGTTTTCGTATTTATCTTGCATTAAGGCTGTTGTAGTATCAAAGTTGTTGGTCTGCTGACGCTGGCGGTTACTGGTATCTGCATGCTATCTGATTTATTGTGCCTTCGCAGCAGCCAGCCAAAACAAATGATCATCGCATGGCTCGCACACGCCCTGGCACTCTCGGCGATCCCTGCGGCTGTGTACCTGGCGGGGTTTCTGATTCATTTCCATATCTTGCAAAACTACAGCCCGCAGTCGGACCACATGGGGTCGGACTATCTTGCGCGGTCAAACAATTCTGCACAGCAGATCCAACCTCTCAACATTTACTCGGATTCATTTGTTGTTCTGCGAGCAAGCGCGTACCCGTTCGAGTATATGAGCTATTATTTTCAGAACGACACGGACGAGCACGTGCTGATTACGAGGCGGGAGTTTGTAATTGAAAATTATCTTGGAATTCGAATAATGGATTCCTCGGGCACAGAGCCGATGTTGGCGCCCGAGAATGCCCGCGACAGAGACAATGCCGACAAGCGTGCTGCTGCTGCTGCTGTTCGTGACGGAAGTTTTGTAGAAATTGGCGTGCCTAAAACAAGCCAGCATATGTGTATTCCCGGCACGGAGCTTCCAAGCTCGCGTGGGCTTTTGGTCGAATTTTGCGAAGCCAATCGTCTGCATGATCTTCACGGGAAAAATACGTGGCAAATAGCTGTTTCCAACCAAGAAGCGCCTGAACACATGAACGACAGAAGCAAACTGGTTCCAGTGGCGACAAAGTTCAGACTAAAGTCCATTGAGCACAACTGCGAAGTAGCCATCGACTACAACCACATTGTCGAAGAAGCAGCCGACCAGCAATTAATAATACCGCCGTACGTATTCGAGTGCGTCAGCGGCAGTCAGCAAGGCACAGTGTGGAGTGTCGAGCATCAGATAGTCACAATTGACACGCCGACAGTTGACTTGCGCCAAATTCTCGCCAGCAAAACATCCCAGCATATTGTTACATACGGGCGGTTGATGCATCTTATAAACAGCATGCTTGTTATTGACCCGGATGTCCATAGCGAGTTTGAAAGCTCGCCCCTTAGCTGGCCTTTTTTGACAAGGCCGATGCCAATGGGCGGATGGGCGGGTGGTCTGAAGTACACGCTCGTTGGTAATCCTATCCTGTGGTGGGCATCGGCCATAGTCTGTGTGTTTATTCATCCACTGGTTGTGTTCTTATCTTTTGTTATTGGCCGCAGGTCGCACGGCAAGGTTGTCGACTTGGTCTTGCCCTGGGAGATTCATTTTCTCTGGGCAATGTGGGCGGCAAATTACTTTGTGTTTTTCGCGCTTTTTCGCGCCACATACTTGCATCACTATCTGCCGGCTCTATATTTTAGCCTTCTGCTACTTGCGTTTTACATTTGTAAGGGCGCTCAGGTGGTTGCCCAGACACTTCTTTCGGATGATGCACTGCCAGTGCAACACCGCCGCTTGATTGCCCGTATTCTAATGGGATTTGCCATTTTGGTGCTGTTTGGAACCTTGTACGCGTACCCGCTGACATTTGGAACCAGTGATTCTTGCAGCCAATATTTATACCCTGCGGTTAAACTTTGGAACCTTTGCGATATATATAAAAAACAATGAAATGTTTTTAAAGAGAACTTTTATAACCAGGATTATATTTGAGGGAGATTTATTCCGGTATAGGTCAAGAGTCCCTTGAGGACCCTGTTACCTGTCGACGATGTTGTCGGCAATCTGGCCTGTGGATAGGTTTTCAAAACTGCTTATTATGCCGCTCATATCGCGCCGGACGTTGTGCAGCACTTTGTCTGATAGCTGGCCCACAGTCATATCGTTGAATATTGTATCGAGAGCAGCGTCGATACTACATCCCTGGTGGGCAAAGGAGAAGGCAATAAGGCCGAGAAGAGCAAATGTAATTTTGGTAATACTTCATTTTTGTAAAAAAAAAATTTGATAACTAGAGATTGGTATTTTTAGTATAAAACAATTGAGATTGAGATTGAGATTGGTAGATAGATGAAGTAATGGTTAGTGGTTTTACTTATTAAAAAATTGAGCAGGTTTTGTTTATAAAACATTTTTTATGTTTATTATTGCGTTTGGTTCCATTTCTCAATATGGTTTGTTGAATCCCGCTGGGCATTGCCAAGTATATTCTAAACCGGTTTTTGTATATTCCATGCAAGTGGCTAAAATAAAAATAAAATGCGGGTGTGGGTGGGGGTTGGAAGTTAAAGATGAGCTAGTGGAGGGGCTTCTTGCGGGTGCATGGTGCATATATTCTAAAGAATATTTTTTAAATTTATTTGATCAAAGCCACTAAACCCAAGCCACCTATTGCTCAATGGCAGCCCATCTGCAAAAGATGCCAAAAATCATTTGGAAATAAGCTTGTATTGAATATAATATAAGTACTATTGTTAAGCAGTTTGATGATATGGAAGTGGATATCGAGGTTGAGAATCGTGGAACGAGGTTTCATCAACATTCCGATTGACAGGGCATAGATGGCACCATGTAGGATCAAGTCAGGAGACATAATAATGACACCCTGATATGCCCCCCCACTTCATAATGTATATGCATGGATGCACGCATGTGAAGACCATAACATTGACTTGCCAAGACACCGGTTTGCTCGCAGAAGAACCAGTTCTTGCCAACGGAGTGTACAATCGGTGAAGTGCACAATAAAGGCAACGAGGCATATATATAAGATGAGGTCGGCCCTAGTTCTACTTTTGATTCCATTGATAATAGAAACCTCTATAAACTGACGCCCCACTCTCTAACTGTAATGCGATTTGGACTAGCTATAATATATATTAATAGAAATGAGACTACGGAAAGAGCTGAAGAGCTCACTATTCAGAATTCGCCGTACGCGTAAAATATCATAAACATATTTTACACGTCTGCGCTGTCACGTGCCTTGGCCCCCATTTCTGATGTCACACTAACATTATATTGTAGTGCTCTACACATTCCCTCTTATTATAACACTATTACATTCCAAAATTAACAAGTATTAATATATTATTATAATTGATATTTATTACTAACTATTTAATTGAAATGGTTTAATGATATTGTTTTTTGGAAAATACACCCAAAAAATATATTACTATTTAGATTCTCGGAAACCTTGAAGCGATGGCAACCGGCAGTTTTTCAAGCATTGCTCTATAGCGTAGAATAAGTGCAACGGCAGACTTCCTGGGATCAACCTGATCTATATCATTGCGCCACTGGACAGAACCCTTTTTCAGATAATCAAGTATATGCTCGGCAAGCAAATCCGCAGTAATATCATTGAACAAAACATCAAAGGCCTCGTCGGTTGTGCATTTGTAGTGTGCATGTGTGAGCGCAGCGCTGATGGACAGAATAATAGGGATATAGGATATTTTCATTTTATGTTATTTGTTTAGTACTTTTTATATTATGTGTGAAAATAGGGTGTGTTTTGTTAATGCTGTTATAAAATAGGGTAAATTTAAAGTTAACAAAAAAGGGGGAAAGAAAGGATAGAGGGTGAAAGTGAGTTGAATTTCATAAACAGAAAAACATGCCATATATTAAATTATAAAAAACTCATTTGCTTTTTATGTAAAGTTATATCAGTTTCTATGTAAATATTTGACATTCAAATGCATGTGTGGCTAGGTTTTTTTTCCTGCATGCGCGAATGAAGAAGCAACTGATGCGCGGAGTAATTTTTAAATAGGAGCCACTTGCTGATCATGTATTCTCACGATAAATAAACTCACTGAAAAAAGATAAATAGCTCACAACGGAATGAAGCGAAGATTTGCCAATTTCCCGTTGATCAACATCTTGTTAATTTTTTTTTGGTGGTCCATGGTATATAAAATTATTTAAGGGAGAGAAAATATCTGTGATTACCACAATAGGACTTTCATATGCATTGGTTTGCCTATGCGCATAGGTAAAAATCATTTTTGTCAATTAATGTAAGAGAGTTGGGGAGGGGATGAATACAAGAATGAATGAATGAAGAAAAAGAAAAAAAAAGTAAAATGCAGGATCCAAATAGAACAAATCGAAACAAAAAGACTCGAAACAACCCTGTTACATTTCTGGATTCAGTTTCCATTTTTCTTCTTCTTTTTCAAACTGTTATTTTTATATATTTTTTGTTATTACTCACAATGTCATATTTGATAAAACAATTTATCCAATGGATACGAGCGCTGCCGGGAAAACCCAACCAGCGGCACTTTTCTTTCCCAGACTCACCCAAATCCTATCTCAACCGTATGCGCGGAGCCCAGTACCAAAGCGAACCAATCCCAGCACCACCGGTGCTCATCTGGTCGCTCTACTCCGGGTTCACCTCCTTCCTCGCCATATCCCTCCTGGGCATAATTCAAACATACGGGCCAGCAATCCACACCCACAATCTACCCTTTGCTATAGCTCCAGCGGGCGCCTCCGCCGTACTTCTCTTTGCCGTCCCGTCCTCACCACTCTCGCAGCCGCGCATCGTTGTTATGAGTCACGTCATATCTGCGCAAGTCGGGGTGTTCATGTATGAGGCATTTAAACACGTGGATGGGTCACTGGTGTGGCTGTCAGGGGCGTTGGCGGTGGGTCTGGCGGTGGTTTTAATGGGATTGCTTAATTGCTATCATCCGCCGGCTGGCGCCACAGCGTATTTGGCCGGGTTCTTTTCAGCTGATGTAAAGAGAGTCGGGTGGTGGTTTCCGTTATATCCGGTTTTGCCCGTCAGCCTTGTGATGGTGGCGGTTGCTGTGGTGGTGAATAATGTTTGCCGCGTTTATCCGCTGTACTGGATTACCAGCGCGAAGAGAGATGCGGTGGAGAAGAAGGCTGAGGAACCGGTGGCGGCGACAGTGGTTGACCAGGTGGTTAATTCCCGGGTGAGCAATGAGTTGGACACCGAGCAGTCGTGGGTGGTGGCCCGGATCCACCAGCTCGAGCTCGAGCTCCAGGACCTGCGATCCCAAACACACAGCACCAAAACAAAATAAATACAGCAGCTTTTTAAGTTAAATAATACACAAAGTACAATTGCCCTTCAGTTACATTCTACAGCAGAGCCCCGGCCTTTGCCAGCATATCCGCAATGTCGTTTCCTCTAATACCAGCGTGAGCAGGCAAGTGGTGGATAAAGACCGTATACCCGCTCTTCGCCAGCCTCCGTGTGGCCTCTCGCAGGTCCAAAAACGCACTCCGATTAGCAATCGGCCGTCCCTTCGCCGTCACCCAACCCGACGATTCCCACGTCTCCATATACACATTAATCCCGTCCACCGCATACCTGCTATCCGAACACACCCATATCTCACACCCAGCATCCCCAGCCACCCTCCCGGGCAGCTCCGCCGCCATCCTGTCGAGCGCAACACGCATGGCAAGGATCTCCGCGCGCGCACACGATTGGTGGCCTGGAAGTCGCTGGGAGAGTGGCCGCGTGGCGGTGTTTTGGAAAAAGGCGCCGATTCCAGCTGTGCCGCGGTCAGGGAGGTAGGCGCCGTCGGCATAGATTATCAGCCGATGCATGGTCGGCTGTGGAATCAGCTCGGCAAGGTGGTCGTGCGAGAGAAGCGCGTGATTCGGCGGCCTGGAATGCACCAGCCCGCTGCCCCGATGCTCTCCCACGCTTGGCGGCGCGCACTGTGCCGCAGGGCATATCGGCGGTGACTTCAGCAAGTGTTCCCGCTGGTTCTGTTGGTTCCGCTGGTCCTGGTTCTGGCTCTGCTGTTGTTGTGGTGTGGGCGGTGGCAAAACACTGAGCGAGTGCCTGTGCATTTCTGCCGCAACAAACTCGCGCACCCCACTACTTGTTTCCACAGAATAATACACAGCCGACCACCTTCGCGTAAGCGACTCCCTTGCATACCTTCTCAGCGCATCCAACGCATCCCGTGGCACACCTTCAAGCTCACCCAGAAGGTGCGCGTATGGGTTAATGGGGACATACTCTGTGTCACGGGATATTGAAAGGGACGCATCCAGGGGTTTCTGCGTGGTGATTCTGGAGAGCAGATGGACAAAGTCATCAATGTAGTCTCGGTGGACAAGGAATTCCGCTAGGAAAGCTCCGACGCTGTTGGCGCAGGCCACTTTGCTTTGGTCGATTCCTAGGGTGGCCCAGATTGAGTGCAGAGTGTGGGTGGATATGCGTCCAATGTCCATGTTGCGCATGTAGACGAATTCCCAGTCGCTAAAGCTGGATGATGATGTATTGGTCATTTAACAATGCGTGGAATGGAAATTATAGAGATATGCAAGAAGTATAGTCGGAGATGACCATATGCAAAATAAAACTAACAATATAATTCAATGTTTAACGGAAAACGCAGAAGATCACTTAAAAAAGAATAAAAGTGAGGTGTAGTAAAGCTATTGTTTATGCATATCAACTGGAAGAATAATAAGAAAATAAGAAAATATTGTTTTTTGTTGTTAGCTGTTAGTTGCGCGCACTATTAATCGACCTAAAAAACAACCAACGAAATAAAAAATTATTGGTTCTTTCCGCGCTCAATGGCTTATTAGTAACATATGGCTATACACGTGATTTAATTTTCTAAATGAAAAATACATCTTAAATTTATTGTTGCATAACGTGGCGTTAATCAAATGACTGAAGATCTACTACCCCTTATACTGAAAATTTTATGAATTGTTTTTCCAAAAAAAAACTTAATCTTCAAACCCTGCCACTAGTAGTAAAAATAATATGTAAAACTTTTTTGTTTTATTTATATTTATATTCACAGAGGAAAATATATTGACTACCGTTATCATTTTTTTCCTGTTCACCTCACGGCATATGTCTGTTTGTTTGTTTGTTTGTTTTTTCAATGTGTGGGTGGATCATTCAAAAATTTCTTGGCAAATAACATTGTCTTCAATTTGAATATGGATCATCGCAAATATTAAAAATAGTCTTGGCAACCCATCCCCCCACTCTCCCCTTCCTTATTTTAACACGAAGAGACTGAGAGAGGGTATAAATAATAATAATTTGAGAATAGGACTAGGTGCGAACTAGGAATTCTAATATAAATACCGCTGTGAGATTTGTTAAAATGAAAAAGGAAGGGTTTTCACTTTGTTTTTTTTTTTACTTTATCTTCACTTTATATTATTTTTTAAATAAAAAAAACATGGAATCCAAATCTCATGTTCTTGTTGGTAAAACATCAATATTTTTTATCAAACTTACTGCAGAAAAAATAAAACAAATATTCTATTGATATTTATGTATTTTTATTTTCTCAATATAGTCGGCGGCGGTGCAATCGGAGGTCTCCTCGGCTGGCGTCTCAGCCACTCCACCACCCACACTGTCTCCCTCCTCTGCCGCTCCACCTACAATCAAATAAAATCCCACGGCATCCCAATAACCTCCCTCCAATACGGCAACGCAATCTACCACCCAGAATATCTCTACCGCACAATCGACGATGCCATAGCACACACTACTAGCTTTGACTATATCCTGGTAGCACTCAAGGCACTGCCCAATATCTACGATAGCTCTGAAGTAATTTCCAAAGCTGTAGGTCCGGGGACAATGATTTTGCTGTTCCAGAATGGGATTGGCGTGGAGGAGCCGTTTTTAAAAAGATTCGGCAAAGGTAATCCCGTGGTTAGCTGTGTGTCATTTGTTAGTGTGTGCAAGGAAAATAGGGAGGAAGGCGGAGGGTTGGGTGGGTGGAGGCTTAGACATGGCGGATTCACCATGGTTGTAGCCGGGTTTGCCAACGAGCAGCACACCAATGAGGACTTGCAGAGGCTGTACAATTTGTTTGCCGAGTTCCAACGCTCTGGCGGCATTGACTGCTCGATTAAATCAGATATTCAGGTGTACCGGTGGCAGAAACAAATCCTCAATGGGTCGACCAACCCCGTGTCTGTGCTCTCCCAGCTCAGTTGCCAGGAGATGGTCCGACATAAACGGTATCGTCGAATGCTAGAAGACGTTATGGCGGAGATATTTGCCGTGGCTGAGAGTATCATTAAGGGGAAACTTCCTGGAACAAATGGAATTGTGGATCCTCCAGCGGCTATAAGGTATATTGAGGGGATTGAGGCACCCGTATATACGTCGATGCTTGAGGATTCGCTAAATAAGAGACATATGGAGACCGAGGTTATTCTGAAAAATCCCATTGATTTGGCGGAGAAACATGGAGTGGCCGTGCCACACATGAGGGCGTTGTATGAGTCGCTTTTGAAAATCGAACAAGCATATGAGAAGTAACAATTTTTTTGACGCAATACCTTAGTGCGGATTTTATTATAAAAACTCAATAAAACAAAAACTACACAACTAGCTGTTCACAATAATTCCCTTGCATTGGGTGGTGGCGCTGCTTGTATAGCCATTGAGGGGGAAATTAGTGCTGATGTCCGAGTTTGGAGGGCGTGAGTGCATTGTGCGTGGCAATTGAGGACGACTGTCCTG